TATCATGCAAACGTTATAATTTAATTGCACGCCACTGTTAATGAAACCAAATTAATTGGACACGCAAATGTTGGTTTAAAGTTGGACAGCCTTCCGACAATAAAAGCAATAATTATAAACAAAATGGTAGCCATCATCCCTTTGAATGGACATTATCAATTTACAACGCTTCCAAGGTTGAAATTTTAATTAAATTAAATTGATTAATTACATTAAAGTCGGGTATTAATTACATTCCATAAGATTTTGCACAATTCCATTTTTTCCATTCCCTTTGAGTTTTCAATAAAATCTATCTTACCATTTTGGTTGAGCTTCTCGTGTGGATCTCCGTATTTTTATGAGAAGCCTTTTTTTTTTTCAAGTGAGAAAGAAAGTTAGGTTATCAAGGTCTCACATACAGCAATGGACATATAAATGGCACATTTTTTTAAGTCGACTTTCTCATGCCTTTGCGTCGTTAAAAATATCATCCACTAACAAGTTTTTGGTGTTTTTCTAAAGTTTATTCTTCACATTAAGTAATAAAATAAGCACAAACTAGAATTCGTTATCAACTTTGCAGAAATAATGGAAATGTGTAAAAAACACTGAAATGAGCTGGACACATAATTGACACAACTTGGAAAAAGAGGCAAAAACTAAGTGGAAGTTTTTCCCAATTTATTTCTCTACCCAAAAATAAATTCATTGTATTTTGTGCTATATCCTTTATTTTCATTGACAGTTTCACATCTGCGACTTATACTCGTCCATAGGTTCTCAATTGGGTTTCCCACATTCAACTAAATAAATTATAATTTGGACAATTGCTTGCCATAATTTCATGCCATCGAAGTCATGTGTTGTTTCAAAGTGTCCAAATAATGAAATTTTTTCTTTTTGTCGAAAAATCACCATAATATCTCCGCTCTCATGTTTGATTGTCTTCCGGCGCTTGGGATGATGAGCAAGTCTCTGTTATCTGGTCCTACCCTCGATTTTCGTTTCGTCGCTTCACTATTTATATGTTTTTCAAAATATTTTGCCATTTTCCTTGATAGGCTCTAGTGAAAGACAATCGCTCTTTTTGGACAGAAGTGGGATTTTCTTGGTAATGCGTCCCAACAGTTTTGCTCCATTAGACTACCTTCGAGGAAGCCTACTTGAAGTTTTTGTGTCCAGTAATTGGCTTGTATTAGATGCTATCGAACGCGATGACTAGAATGGATCAATATTTATCATTCTTATAATAGCAGCACCCGAACGCTCAGCCATTTTCTGCCCAATATACCAAACCACTTTTTACAAAACAATCCATCCAAATAATCAAATATTATGCACTTTTATTGAAAATTGCGACGATAATTCATATGCCATTTATGTGTCCACCCAAGACTATCTTAGGCTTCACGAAACTATAAACAATAACAAAACATAAAAAAATATTAGGGCCTCAGAAACGTAAGAAATACTGTGGCAGCAAGTTAAGTGCAACAATTTTTTGATTATGAACAACTTCAAGTAGACATTTTTTTAACATTTAGAAAGAATCTAGGTTTTGAGCCATTTATGTGTTCATAGCTTTGCGTACATATATGTATACGAGGGAATCTTTGTCTATCTTCTCTACGTTGGAGTGATTTCAACCCACTTTTGAAAACAGTCTTCAAAATATTGCTTTTCAAGCTTATCAGGTTCAGCATTAACCGCATTAATTTCCTCCTCAAAAGGTGCTATATCAGTGGAATATGGTGCTGGACCAGATGGCGCGTTGTCATGATGTAAAAACTAGCACCGCAAATCCTCTTTCTTCCTGTTTCCAACTCATTTTTAAAAACTGTTGGTAAGCGCTCTTCGGTGTACCATTTTGCAATTGCCATCTGACAGCTACTACGATTTTAGACCGGGTGAAATAAACTGAGATCATTACTTTTGCTGTTGATTTTTGTTGTAATCATTAGCAATCATTTCTACTGTCAATCGTGGGGCTTCGTCAATTTTGGTCGTCACCAGAGCTACAGTGACGTCATCAGTTGAAGATTTTGCGCGAATTTCAATTGCAATGTCTGGAACCACTTAAAAATAGTCTTTAAAGACTAATAAAGTAATTGCAAAGGATTAGGTATTTTTAGATTTAACAAAAACAAATTGAAAGCCAACGCTGACCGAACTTTTGTTAATCCCCTCGTATATACTTACCTTGATGTCGAAAGCAATAGGTGGAGATTATATGTAGGTACATATATTTACTAACTCCGAATATATAAATTCCAATGAACCAAACTTCCAGATCGCGTATAAAATGAACATTTAATTGGGTTTTGTGATGTTACATAAATAAAACTAAAATATCAGATCAAAACTCCGGAATGATCGCTGTTATTTCCCAGTATCTCCTGCCAGTGTAAGCCAAAAACAATCGACGGCTCGAATGGAAGTCATGAGTCCGATCCATTAAACTGTTTGATACAATCACCACCTCAGGTATGCACTCTGTTGCAGTTCTTGAGGAAAGTACAAAAATAGGTTTACGCAGTTACAATTTGGGTTGTGCGATTTTTCCAAAAAAAATTCCCATTCAAGGAACATATTTATGAAGAATGGTTCTATATTGGGAACAGAAATATCTTAACTCCGTCGACATTGCATTGGGGCAACTTTAGTAAAAGAGCACCTTACTGTCAATCTGATATGATGTAGAGTGTTTTAACCAAAGTGGAGAGCCGGAAATTTACCCTGACCACGTCTGCCTAGCCACCACATAGTCAACTACATGAATAGTTCCATTATATTTTAGGTTTAATACAAAAAATAACTGTTCAATATTACTTACAAAATATTTGGTGAGATATTTTCACACCTCACATCACATTCACAACATTTAACCTAAACCCTTTTTTATAGGTGGCTGGGCTATTTCAAAGAGAAATTAAAAAAAAAAAACCAGTCACACCACGGAAGGCAAATTGGAGGACTTGTAATTATATAGAAAATTAATTTGGTAGTTGCGCAATCCACATTAAATATCCAATTTCGATAAAGCGTCTCAAAATATACCAAGGTCAACAACCGGTGAATTTAATCCAAAGAGCTCGAAAGCACAAAAATTTACTGGAAAAGTTATGACTTCGGTATTTCTCAAAAAAAAAAAAAAAGGTCGAAAGTAAGAAATTGCGCTGGAGGAAGAGAGGTGAAATATATTGAAATTTTAGACCAGCATTAGAATGATTGCCTTGCTCTTAATGGAGATTATGTTGATGAATAAAACCAATTTTGATTAAAGTCTAGGTATTTTTTAGTCCATGGTTGTCTACATTTACCTTCTGTGTCTGTGGTTTCTGAACTAGAAGTGGATGTAACTACATCATCCATCGTTGGACATCAAGCCACATTTATAAGGCGGAGTACGGACAACGTCATCCTGTACATAGTTTTCTGGATTTATTGTAGTTATTTAAGATGAAGCGAGTAGCGAGTCTTCAGTGGGCAAAGGGAAGGTATGTACCGTTCACCAGTTGTTGCATTGCATTCCGCTTTGTTTTTTATTCGTTTTTTTTTTTTTACTTTAGATGTATAAGCCCGCCACAGCTAAGTATACAATAGTAAAAAATTAATATTTTTTTTAATATTGCTTAAGCAAATCAAAAAGTGGATCAGAATAGTTACGTTCTACCAACAATTGCTGTTTTTTCGGGACTCAATGACATTTAATTTTTAACTGATTCTCATTAGCTGTGCCCCTCCTTTTTGAAATCCCTACATTAGCAAATTGATTTTTTCCAGCACTGCATCTTCACAAATTTTCTAGAAAAAAAAAAACAAAAAAAATGTATGTACAGCTGTGAACATGAAAATAGCAGCATATATACAAAGTTTGTTCAGAAAAATGAAAAATATAAAAGTTATTTATTATGATTAATTTTTTAAATATTATCATTTTCTAGTATTTCTGATACTTATCAGAAAAATTCATCAATTTTCACTTTACATGTTCACCATATACATACATTGTACAAGCTCAATAAATTTAAAAAAGAAAAAAAGCCTGAAAATAGGGGCGGCAATAAGAAATAGTTTGGCATAGATGATCGTAGTTTTGTGGAATCGCAAAATCAAAAGAAAACTGAATTGAAGTTAGCAGTAAGCAACGTGACTGTGAAACTTGGGCTTTTAGAAGGAAATATACATATACATACATATATTAGTCCGGAGTCCGAGGAAGAAACCACTACTTACATCAAAAAAGCATAGAGATAATCGGTTACAGTTCTTCATAATAATTTTATTCGTGCCCGTACTACTGCATGTCAACTGAAATACACCGTTAAAACCGTAAATCAAGCAAAGGCGATACAAAATTTGTATATGGGCTGGCCAAAAGGGGCGTTGGTTAACTCAATGCTTCCTTATTGCCCTGTAGTTCTGGAAAATAAGGTTCTTACAACATCAGCTTCATTTTCATACGTGCACCCACTATTTTTGCTTTAAATCAAGTATTTCATTCATTTTCACGATTCTCCACAATTCTTAATTTTTTGAATTCAACTTTAATTGGATATGCAGCTAAATTGTTAAATAAAACCCAACCTTTGGATCGAATGCGTAAGTTATAAAATTTTCAAAATTTTAAGGAACCAATTACGGTACTGTTTTTTTGAGCAGGTTTATGCACATATACCTACTTAAAGGTTCTTAAAAATAAGAGAAAACCTAAAAAATTTCTTAAGTAAAAATATGCATATACATATATAATTTAATTTATGCATTCTCACCCCTAACGATCTTTAATATTCTAGGACTAAAAATAATAAGCATAAAATATAGAAACAAACAAAAATAAAAAAATATAAAAAATAAATTAGGAACCACCTTGGAGATCACTCCAGTTTTAGCCGAATCTTAAGGGATAAGAAAAGAGAGAACGTGTAAGTCGAACTAAGCATGCAAGGCAAAATTTATTGCCTAGACATAGTAATATCTCCCACGGGTAAGGGTTAAACAAGTAAAACCATTTGTTGTCCTCATCACAAGATAGTTTATTTGGGATTCAGTACATTAAGTGTTGCTTTTAAATTAATGACAAAAAGGCTTACTCTTACATAGTTAATTTTAGTTTGCATTAAGTTACAACAAATTATTTTTTTTTTTTTACATATATTTCTGTCTATGAATGTTTATATATTGCTGTTTACTACTACCAAATAGTTTCAGCCCAAAGTCTTCTTACCTCTGCAAATTTTAGATAGATAATTTGGTTGAATAAAAATTTTATACCTTTTAATAATAAATAAAAAGACAAGCTTATACGAAATAATTGTTAGCAAAAGTTTACCTATATATGTGTATGTATGTAAAAAACGAAAATGTAAATTTGCATTTAATAATTAAGCTTATTTTTTACGAACGCTTTACATAATATTATGAGCGTGCTAATATATATTTATTAGTTAAAATATGTGTGTATATAGTTGTTGTTTTTATTATTTATATGTGTGTATATAGCTTGTAAAATAGACGAAAAAAGTTTCTCCGCGAAAAATGCATACTACCGCATACATACATACATACATACATACATAAGTACATAATTACATTGTTATATTATATATATATAGTATAGTATATATATATATATATATATAATAGGTAAATTGGCATTCAGCTCAAACTATAGTAAGTATTTATTACAAAATCGTTTCCAGTCATATCCAAGTTGCAAATAGTAAACTTTCGTGTCATTAATAAAACCTCATGTATACATATGTATGCATATGGTCAAATATGATTTGTAATATTGTGCAAAATCACCGTCAACTAACAATTTACAAATTTCAATTAACTCATATCATCATCATCATTATTATTATTATCAATCAATATAAATTCAGTTCGTATGCTAAGTACATATACATTTCTAGTGTAAGTGTATGTGTGTTGGTGTGGTTGCGTGTGTGTGTGCATATTTATTCTGTGTGCTAACTTATAATGTATTAACCCTTTGAAGGTTTGCTAGCAGACCTCGTTTGAGTGGAGTGCTTGGCTGGAGGTGTCGTCATAGGTGGGCTGTGGTGCTGCTGGTGACCGGTTCATTCGAGCCAACAGCCACACCCTCCTTGACCACCGCTAATCCGTTGCCCAGAGCTCTGTTACTGCCATTCGCCGCGTTGACATCATCGCCCACAATCAAAACCTTACCCACACCATCGGGTGCCACCAATTCGCCACTCAATCCGTCCAGACCCAGCGACACATCGCCGGGTATTTTCGGTTTCGGACGATGTGTATCGACCGCATCGATTGGTAGTTTTATGTGCTCCACTTTGCAGCCATAAGCTACCGGTGTCAATTTGATAACCGTATGGAGTGGTACAAATAAATATGGCAACTCGTCAGCGGATTTGTCCAGGAAGTAGGCAAACAAACAACGCAAAACAGCTTGATGTGACACTACCAACACATTACCTTGACGTTCTAATTCCATTATGACCGGCTCAAGACGTGCTACCAAATCTTCATAGCTCTCTCCGCGTGGATAACGGTATGCGAACTTATTTATATCACGTGCCTTAAACTCCTCGGGGAATTTCTCCTTAATCTGTTCATAGGTCATCTCTTCACAATGACCTGCGTCAATTTCATTTAGCGCTTTCCAACGCTCTTGTGGCGCTTTCACATCCGCCACTGTCTGTATGGCACGTTTCATCCATGAAGTCCAAACACGCAATCCATCAATGTGCTGCTGCTCGATGTACGAAGACAATGCTTTGGCGTATTGACGACCGCGTTCGCTGAGGTTCGAATCGCCTCCAATAAGTCCCTTCAAGTTATGCTCACTTTCGCCGTGACGCGTCAAGTATATAGTGCGAGGTGTTATGTGCGTATTCATTAAGTAGTAAACAATTCTCGATTCCACATGACCCTCATTGTTGTACACCACAGTTTTCTTGCCTGCATTGTAAATCTTTAAGAAGCTCAGATGGGATTCGGTCTCTTCGTCAATCGGTTGGTAGCGCTCCTCGTAGTGCTCTATGCGTTGCAAAAAGTCTCGTACCACAAGATCCGTATTCATATTGATGTAATCCGGAGAGCTCACCTTCACCTCCTTAATATTTTGTTCAATTATAGTTGGATCGTCACAGATTGATTCGACAAAGAATAAACGGAAATTATGTTGCTTCACGACAGTATCGTAGATCAGTTGACGTCGATCGGTCGTCGAGTTTGTCGCATCGAAGACGGCGACACTTCCTAAGCCGCTCAGCAGCCATTCGCAAGAATCATGTAGCGCCTGGTTTGCACAACGATTTCGTATAGCCATTGCCTCTTCATTATCGGCGCGGAAAAACTCATGCGACTTGTAGGCGGTGGTTGCACAACGACGGTATTCGCCCAAATTGAAGACGCGTGTCGATATGCCAATCCAATTTAAGTAACGAGCGAGCTTTTTCGAGATGAAAGTTTTTCCACGTGCCGGCAAACCAACCATAGCGATTACATGAGGGGTAGTTACATCCGTTATGGCGCGTTCACCGCGCACCGGAAATGGTTTAGTCATTACCGTTTCAGAGGTAGGCGGCAGCAATTTGCGCAGTTCATCAGACATGACGCTCGGACAAACATGTAGCTCATTCTCAATGGCAAGATCTGCAGTTTTCTTGAGTTGATTTAGCGAAGTGGTACGCACGCGGAGGGAGGGTGATGTGTTGAAGGGCATATCCATTATGCTAGTGGCGGTCACAGAGCGTACGAGGGACTGGTTTTTGATTGCAGCGGCAACGACGGATGCTGTGGAGGAGAGCAGTAGGGAATTTGTGAGGGTCAGTTGGGTTTGTGTCTCTTGATTCTTGAACTTTTCAATGGACGATTGGGGAAAGGATGTGGAAGTGGTTGATGAGCAAGGTGACGAAGAGGCTGACGATGAGTATGAATCGATTATGGATGGTGGTGGTGTTGGGGGTGGCGTTGGTGAGGCAATCAAAATTGGTTGTAAAGACTGTTGTTGATCAATAATGTGAGATGAATTGTGACAATGAATTTTAGCCTGACCAACAGTTGTAGGCGCTGATGGCAATGCAAATGTATTAAACGATTCTGTGACAGTTTTTGTAGCAGTCGTTGTCGTCGTTGCGGACGAACTGATTATGTTTAATGAAGCCAGCTCGTTTAATGGTTTCGCTATGACTGGTTTTGAGAATGGCAATGAAGATGTAGTTGATGTGGATGTCGATAATGATGACGATGACGACGATGATAATGATGATGATGATGATGTTGGTGCTGATGAGACGATTACATCGATACGTTCAATATTATTCATAAATAGTCCTTTTTAATTTAAACTTAGCCAATAATAAAATTTGTTAATAATATATTTTTTTCTCTGTAAATCATTAGCTAGCTGCAGCGGGGTCTGTAACAGTCGCAACAGTTGCAAGTATGGAATTTCAAGTGTGTAAAGATAGACGAAATAAGGATATTCTTTTTCAATTATTCTTATTGCAAAAAACTAATTTTCCTTTTATTGATAGTTGATTTCTAATTCGTTTCAAACGAAGTTTGGTGGACGTTGTGATGAGTTTTTATAGTTGATCAGATCCGTGAGTAAAATACAAATATATTTAACTACACCCTGTCTGCCTGCTCGCAGGCCCCCAGGCCTATTGTAGAACAGTCTCGAGGTTACTCTTTTTGTTGTTGGAAGAAGAAAACGTTTTGTTTTTTCTATACGAATTGTTCACTGCTGTCTTATTCCGTTTCGATTTTGTTTCAGTTTGGTTAGACTTTTTTCTTGCGCGATTTGCTTGCTGCAAATAAAATTCAGAACAAAAAGAGATATCTTTTTAAACACCGCTAAATTCACATTTACATACAACGCCAAGAAGGTAGAGCGATAAAAGTACTCGTATACTTCGCATTTTACGCTATTAGAATAAAATCGACTTTTATCGACTATTTGAAAATGAAATCGAAAGTGATGTTTGGAGAACTGAGTTTAACTTATTTACACAAAACCAAATGTAAATGATAAAAAATATAAGCAGAAAAATTTTATATGCGAACGGTTTCAATGAAGAGGTTTGAAAAAAAAATAGACAATAATAAAAAAAAGTAAAATTAAAATAGTATATTTGACAAATTAAAAAGAAAAATTTAAACAAATTTAAAATAAAATTTTTTAAAAATCAAAAATTTACTAAAAAAAAGTTTGGAAATATAATATTGAAAAAAATTAATTAAAAATAAAAAAATTATATATATATAGAAAAATCAAGAAGAAAATATTAAAAGAAAATAAGCAAAATATTAAAAAAAAATTTAAAAACTCTAAAGATATTTTAAAATTAAAAATTAAAAAAAAAACTTAATAAATAATAATTAAAAAATAGTATATTTGAAAAATTAAAAGAAAGACTCAAAAATTTATAAAAATCCCTTGTCGGTGTAAAGCTGAGCAAATGTGTGAGAACTTAAGAAAATATAAGCGAGTGCCAGTAAAGTTTAATAAAAGAACAATGCTCAAGTCCTATATGCACGCCCTACCTGGACCAACAGTGTCCGATTTTCTTCTCTCCATATCTGCGCCATAACTATCTCTTTCGATTCTGGCAAAACGCCATTTGCTCACTTGACCCGTAGTATCTGATTTTCTCCTCTGCATAATTGCAGTTTTACTTAACTTTTTTTTGTAATTTTAATTTTGCCGAATTGCCAATTTTAAAAACAAAAAAATTCCTTGTGAAATTGTTTTTCGCGTGAACAAAGGTGGAAATTGAATTATTGAACTGTTTGCACACAATCAATATCAATCCATTTTATATGTTTTTACCACACCGTCTGACAGCTTATCAACGAAGTGAAATGTGTAGGTCAATCAGAGTTCATTTCTAATCAATATTCAATAATATTCAACCTACTAAATGCGCATTGCAAAAGTAGGAACAGATGGTCTACTCTTGGGCCATTTAAAATTGAAACAACTTTTGTTTTTGCAATCGAAGAGGTACAATGAAGCTAAATATCAATGAATATCAACCACCAATTTAAATATCGCACAGAGATGATGAATGGCGGGCCCTAACGCTATTCAGAAGACTATCAGTTCCGTGTTCGGAATGTCATTGCATATACATACATACGTTATGATATGCATATAACGTCATTCTTTACAGAAAGTGAATAAATAAGCAACAGGTTAATGCCCTAATCACAATTTCCGGCTTTTGTCTTTCATTTCACCCACAGCAGTGCGACTACAAATCTTTCGATTTTCCCGAAACATTTTCGCTACACAATTCGCTACACATTTCGCCTATCTCGCCTATTCCGCCTCGGTCAAATAACTCTGCACTTGAGAATAACGAGATGATGTAAGAAAAATGTGTATACGATTGTAATCAAAAACCTCACAAAACTGGTTTCATTTACATGAAAAACGTCAATATTTGAAACGAAATGAGCAGATTCAGTTAATAACTATATTTTTATGCTGCATACAAGCACACAACTAGCGAACTAGTGACAAGACAATAAAAAGGACTACACAACTAATCAGCACAACTCACAAAACTTTTTTCTTTCTCTTTTTATGTATTATACAAGTGTATTCACAATGATAATAATCAGCGCTCAACACAAGTAATATTTTTTTTTTCAACAAGAAATATGCAAAGGAATGAGTATAAGTCGAGTAACTGTAGTAACGAACTAATAATAAAGAACGAAGACCAAAACAACGAAGGCGTGTTGCCTGTGGAATGTTTATTTCCACACTGACAAGTAGTTTGACAAATATAAAAAACTATTCTATTTTGCTATTGTATACATACGTATATACACAAAGATGTACACAATGACTTCCGAAGGTCGTTTTTAACTGCACTTGCAGAAATAATGACTTAAATCTGAAAGGGGTTGTGAATTAAGTCATTGTGCCGCGGTAGCCGAGTGGTTAGCATTGCGTACTGACATTCGGAAGGCCCGCTTTTAAGTCCCGGAGCCACAAACATCCAAAAGTTATGGAAAATAATTTAAATAAAAAATTAAGTTAAATTTTCTAATTGCGGTCGCACCTCGCCAGGAAATGTCTCCCCCTCCGAGTGTATTTCGGACACGAAATATAGGCTCCTCGTAAATAAGCCGTTCGGAGGTAGCTTAGTACAGGTCCCTGCATTTGTTGGAAAAACAGCAAGACTCAAAAACCACAAATTGGAGGAGCTCGGCCGAAAAATCGCTTAAACGATTACAAAGCGCCAATTATATATTGTATATAATTATATAGTATATATATAAATATAGAAAAAATATATATATATATATATTTATATATATATATATATATCTATATATATTGAGCATATAACATATAACAATAAAGTAATCCCAAATCACTCCAGTAAATCTTAATTGCTTGACACATTTAAGTAAGTTCTGCAAATTTTAGGAAATTTTTTACGGGTTTTAAATGAAAAAAATTAATTTTTAATGAAGTAACCTTTGTACCTAATATAAAAATAATAACCCTACTCTGACTTCATACCGAAAAACGAGGGTTTCAACAACCTTCAAGTGGTACAATTTTATATTGAATTTTCATTTTTATCCGTGTTTGCATTGCTCAATTTTCTAAATTTATCTTTTGGATTGTTTATTTAATTTATTGTTTTGTAAATTGTTGTTTATACATAGATGTAATAAGATGGTACAAAACATGTTTCGCTCAGAACACATAATATTTTAAAACAAAGTGGAATAATAGGAATTTCATAGATTTAAAAAAAAATGTTGAAGTTCTTAGATTTTTTTATTTTTTTTTTTATTTTTTATTATTAAATTTCTTATTTTTTATTATTAAATTTCTTATTTTTTATTATTAAATTTCTAATTTTTTATTATTAGATTTCATTTAGTTTAAAGAAGTTAATTTCTTTAATCAAATAAATAAGCTGACAGTATTTTTATTTAAGTGTACGATTTATTAAAATCTAATTTTAGATTTATAAAAACATCGTAAAAAAATGAATAAAAATAATCAAGATTGAGCGGATATTCAGCATCAACGGGCATCATTTTCAAATTTAAGTCGCGTATCAATAAATATACAACTCAGTAGAATTGAACATACATTCATACATACGTATGGATGTGCGCGCATGGCATGATATGAATTGAGTGAAAATTTTAATAAACAACAATTCAAAAACATATACAAAAATGAAAAATGTGCTTTGTGAAACTCTGCGCAATAGCGATAATACATTTTTAAATTCAGCAAGAAGCGAAGTACTAATTTCGCGTGGAAACGAATCGCGAATGGCACCCAATTCCAATATGAAAGCTTATGTGTATTTAATAATGTGCAAATAATCCATGCATTATCTTTTAATTAACAAAATAAATTAATCGTTAAATTTAGTTCCGATTAATCATGAGTAATTGGTTTATTGAAAGTACGTTGAATTAGATAAAAGTAACCAATTTTTCAGTTCTTATGTTTTCATATATAGCAGGACGTTGGCGATGAAAAGCAACTATTTTTTATTTGCTAATAAAAAAATAGGTCCTTATCGTAGTAACGTGCTAATTAGGATTGTTTTATAGTACAAAAGATTTATAGTTACTTTCTCAAAACTATTAACCAAATTAACTTTTCCGATCTATGAATAATGTGCCTACATTTCTCAAAACGTAACTGCAAGTTTTTGTCATAAATTCTATGAAAGCAAAATTTAAGAAATAAATAATTTATCGACATCACTCAAAGCTGATTATTATTTGCAAGATCGTCATTAATAATTAAAAATCAAATATTCTTGACAGGTGCAAATTTGCTAGTTCTGGGTATTTTCCAATCAGAGAGTTAATCAAATGGACACCCTTAGACACAAACCTTTCATACACAAACACATTACTATAATCGATGTGCTCTTTTTCCATTCTCAATTCAATGAACCCAACAGTGAAATGCGCTGAACTGATAAATTTGACGAGCTAGTCGGAGAAACAATTACTAGTATTTAAAGCAAAATTTAAAAAAATTAAAAATCATTAATTTCCTTTTAATTAAAATTCTAAAATTTGAATTGTTTGCGCGGAACTCCTGATAACTAAGTTGGGGTTTCCTCTTCCTTTTTAAGCAACTACATTTTCAAGAAAATTGATAAAGTATTACACTGGCATTAACAAATTGTACGTCAACAGTTGATAGCGTAAAACGCGTTGGCGCATCAGGCAAACGACCGTTTACAATTGAAAGATAATAGATTCAATATAATAATGCCGATGGAAATATGATATGAAAATAACAAAAAAAAAAATTGGTTTTACACAAATACCTTCAATAAAGTTATAACCCTCTAAGAAATTATTGAAAGTGAAAAAATTATAGCAAACAAATAATTCTTATTATAGGAACAAATAGTAATAGATGAATCGACAAAACACACGCATATGTGTATGTAATTATTTTCGAATTGAATATAGGGTAACATAAATACACCCGCCAGAGTGAATAGTTTTATTTTTCATATTGGCTACTCTGTAGCATGAACTATCCGAGCTCCCAAATTTAAAGTGAATAAAAGCAAAAAAAAAGTAAAAAAAAAAAATAGTAGCTGTAAATCAGATTTTAGACACAAGTTGACTGAATTCAAATGTCAATCGTCTTTTAAGCAAATGCAGAGAAAAACTTTTATCTGACCGAAGATGCATTGATATCTTTTGGAAGATGCTACCTAATAAAACGAATACCCAAAGCTTTGAATTAATATAATACATATACCCCGAGTGGAAAAGAGGAAATAATATA